TCGACAATATGCTTTTTTGCTGGCTGTAGCAGCGCTATAGCGCTGCACAGCAAAAACGCATAAAAATGAAGTTCGAAGATACAATTTTTTAAAAGCTAATGCAAGGCAGAGGAGCGTTTTTTACTTATCCAAAATCTTTTTAGGATTTTTTAGAGAATTTTCCCGGAACGATAAACTGCTGTACGGAGCAGTACTGACAGTGATTACAGTCAAAAACTAGTATTCACACATGAAAAGCAGAGGCTCTCGAAAACTGTCCGAGTGATAACATGTGCCAACAGCAACCACACTGGCAAAGTTGTGGCTCGCTCTTCCAGAACCCCTCGAAACGAGTGATCGAATCATAAAGGGTTGCTTGTAACCCACACAGTAGCAACAAAATATGCACGATGGTCTTTATAATCTTGGGCTAGCCTGTCGCGGTGGATAAATCATTGCGTTTTTTTACTATTCCAATGAGCTATGCCGCAATTAGCACGTGTGAGCCTCCCAGTAACATCACCGACATGGGGTACCCACACTGACATCCTGAGCAATCCTGGTGTTCCTGAGAAGAGAAACTAACCCAAGCTGAATGCATCGGGCGGGTCCGTGCGATCACGCGTTTTTGCACCGGACTTGAACTACTCGGGTGATTAACTGCATGAATGGTTGTTGCTTTACATCTACCATTTGCGGTCATTAGCGTGAATCACCATAAATTTTGCATAAAGTAAATGTACAATTTCCATTTAACAGCCGTTCTTTAAAAGTAACCTAGCTGTTCAGTGAAAAATTTTTCCGCTAAAACTTTTAAGTGCCTGTACGTAAGAACAGGCATATCTCAAGGATGAATCTGAAATACTTAAGTAGTGCTCGGACAGGGAACATTCCCCTAAAATTTCAGCTTTTCAGCTTTTCTGGATACCGAGTTAACAATTTTCCCGCCAAAACCTTTACATGCCCGTACGTGGGTACTCCACGTGCCTGGAAAGCTGAGTTTGAAATTTCTGAATTACTCGTAGACAAAGAATACCCTCCTAAAATTTCAGCTTTCCAGCTTTTCTGGTTGCTGAGTTAGTAATTTTCTCGCAGAAACTCTCATACCCCCTTACGTGAGCACCACGCATAGTTTGGGGCTGAATTTAAAATATTTGAGTTGTACTTGGATAGAAAACATCACCCCGAAATTTCAGCCTGGTACCCGAGTTAGCAATTTCCCCACTAAAGCTTTTATACGCCCTTACGTGAGTACCGTGCGTACTTGGGAATTGAATCTGAAATCTTTAACTAGTACACGCAATTCCTAAAACCGCTCATCCAACAATTCCTAAAACCGCTCATTCTTTCAATCCGAAGCCTTCCAAATTCAATGGTTCTGAACCCGGTTTTCTCACCTTTCAGTGCGATTGTGTTGCTATTTTTCTTTACTTTTGCGTTTCAGCACCAAAATTTGGGATCTCTGAACTAAATGTTAGGTCACCTTGCACTTCCTTTCTTACCTCGCCAGTTAATTTCTGCCCCTTCTAAGAGTGTTGGTAAGAGAGTAGCCACAATGAAATGCACAAAAAGTCCATACCTGATCATCGGCACTATCGAACGCTGATCCTTCCGCTATACGCGCACACCATGCTACCAACACCAATACCCGATCAGGCACTGGGTCTGAACCAAGTACCTGGCAGATCGCTGTCACATATTTGACAAGTTGCTGAGAACGCAAATCGTCGGTGACTTCTTTGTGCCATGGCTGCTCAATAATTGGTAATTGCGGAGTGAATAATTTTTTTAGATCGATTGTACTGTCCGGCGCAGGAAACATTCTCAGTCTTTTTCAAACGGAACCAATTTATTTGGTGAGTTTGGTGGCTGCAACGGAATAAAACAAAAATTTAACGACAAATTTTAAATTTACAAAAAATTCCACATGCGTTTATTATACGGATTTCATCGTCTATTTATGGCACATAACTCAGTAAATATGTGAAGCATCCTTCTGCTTCATATTCTGTATAGGTGGGGGACTGCATGCTATAGTGTACGGTATCTTCGAGCCCTATAGCATTCGCACTCTGAATATTATCTAAGATAAGAAATTTTATCTGAAATGGCTAAGAAAGACTGGAAAATAGTTCCTACCTCTTGTTCTAACCTGCAACAGTTCTATCGCCTTTTCCCAAACTACCAATGCATGTCCCTTTACCTTCGCTTTTATGCCGCCTTCTAACCAACCTTCATTCCTCCTGCCCGCCATTTTTATGCGTTTTTTGCAGCAATGCAATGCGAAAAACGCATATTGACGAGAGGTTGTCTGT